GGTAGATTCAGTCCACTCTTATTTAATTTACATAATTATTTTTGTCGGAGTGTGCCTTAATCATGATTTAAAAGTCAGCGATGCATGCCAAAGTTTTGGTTATAGTGCTAAAGGTACAAAATGGGGATCGACCAAAAGGGAAGACCTCCCCGGTTATAAGAGTCCAAAGGAAAAGTGTCTCTCAGGGTTTTCCTCGTGAGATTTCTATTAACACTCTTCGGCCAAGTCTAAGAAAGGTGAGGCTCTTGAGATCAATAGTAATTAGTTAGCTAGCCCCCACTTCTTTCGTGAATCGTCTTGGTTGACTAAGCTATAATACTTGTGCTTGTGTTTGTCCTATTTTCAAAACTTTAGTCTAAAATTTCAGTAATCTGACCCAGTTTTAAACGGCGTATCTCTGTCATGTTATTTGAATGCAACTACATTTTTCATGTTGTTTCTGCATTGTTCAAACAAGCCCGTCACTAATATGACACGTCACTGAACCAATTTAGTCAATGAAGTCATCATCTTGTTGACTTTAATTTCGACGTGAACATTATAACCCGCAACTACTGTTATCAGACTATCCCCAAAAATGGACCAACACCAATTTTGTGTGGAAATAGCCGCCTGTGAGGTTTCGTGACTACATGGATGGCAAGCAGATTCAATTCAAACACTAAACAATATTTTTACATGCATAACTGGAAAAATGTCGCCGGTGAAGTGCAAAATCACAGAGTTTCTAATTTCCTGGAAATCCTTTAACTTTCTTATTCAAACAAGTTGTCAGTTATGCCGTGAATCCTTTTTGGTTTTTAACAAACCCATCGCGTTAGTTGTTTGGAGTTGAATTTCGGCTGGTGTGTTTGTGATTCATAAGGCCGCTTTTTATGTAGGACAATGTTGGATGAACTATGTAAGTCCGAGTTAATCCCTTCTTGCCTGCTCTTGTAAAGTTGTTGGAGTTATGTGCAAATTTGTTCAAGATTTAGCAGGCAATTCAAACACTAAACAATATTTTTACATACATAACTGGAAAAAATGTCGCCGGTGAAGAGCAAAATCACAGAGTTTCTAATTTGCTGGAAATCTTTTAACTTTCTTATTCAAACAAGTCACGTCAGTTATGCCGTGAATCCTTTTTTGTTTTTAACGAACCCATCGCGTTAGTTGTTTGGAGTTGAATTTCGGCTGGTGTGTTTGTGATTCATAAGGCCGCCTTTTATGTAGGACAATGTTAGATAAGCTATGTTAATCCGAATTAATACCTGCTCTTGTGAAGTTGTCGGATCCGCGTGCAAATTTGTCCAAGATTTTCCTGGCATACTTAAACGAAAATATTAACACGAAACGTACGAAAGGGCTATCTTTGTTGACAATCATAATAATCATATTACTTTGTTTATATTCACGTGGGTTCTGTTTGAACATTTTTCAACTAGTAAGCAATTGGTAGATTCAGTCCACTCTTAGCCTAATTTGCGTAATTAATCATTTTTTTCGGAGTGTGCCTTAATAATAGTTTAAAAGTCAGCGATGCATGCCAATGTTTTGCTTATAGTGCCTGAAGATACAAAATGGGGATCGACCAAAAGGGAAGACCTCTCCAGGCATAAGAGTCTAAAGAAAAGTGTCTCTCAGGGTTTTCCTCGTGAGATTTCTATCAGTAAACACTCTTGCCAAGTCTACGAAAGGTGAGGCTCTTGAAGTCAATATAGTAATTAGTTAGCTAGCCCAAAATACTTGTGCTTTTGTTTGTCCTATTTTCAAAACTTAAGTCTAGAATTCCAGTAATCTAACTCAGTTTTTAACGGCGTATCTGTGTCATGTTATTTGGATGTACGTATATTTTCCTTGTTGTGTCTTCATTGTTCAAACAAGCCCTTATCTAAAGCCTGGTTCTCATATGCCGCCGACATACCTGAGACATCTGCGGACGCAACGTACTCCAATAAGACGAATCGATCCATATTTACAGGCGAAATGGTTGAAAATTCTTAAATTGCGCCAATTCGCGCAAATCTGAGTATGTCGGCGATTCATCGGAGATGCGCCGGGGACCCACCGGAACGGATCGCCGAACATTTTCAGTTGCAACCGGCGACTACGTCGCAGGTAGGTCGGCGGGATATGAGAACCAGGCTTAATATGACACGTCACTGAACCAATTTAGTCAATGAAGTCATCATCTAGTTGACTTTCGACGTGAGCATTATAACCTGCAACTACTGTTATTAGAGTATCCCCAAAAATGGACCAACACCAATTTTGTGTGGAGATAGCCGCCTGTGAAGTTTCGTGACTACATGCATGGCAAGCAAATTCAATTCAAACACTAAACAATATTTTCATGTACATCACTGGCAAAAATGTCGTTAAGTGCAAATCACAGAGTTTCTAATTTCCTGGAAATCCTTTAACTTTCTTATTCAAACAAGTCGTCAGTTATGCCGTGAATACTTTTTGGTTTTTAACAAACCCATCGCGTTAGTTGTTTGGAGTTGAATTTCGGCTGGTGTTTGTGATTCACAAGGCCGCTTTTTATGCAGAACAATGTTGGATAAGCTATGTAAATGCAAGTTAATTAATGACTTTTGTCTGCTCTTGTGAAGTTGTTGGATCCACATGATTTTGCTTGCATACTTAAATCATTAGCAATGACTGAATTTGCGTGGGAAGAACCGTGGAAGGTTCTAATCAGAAGGGTCGTGTTTTTAAATAGGTGTTTCACTTGGTAAGAGATCACCGTCGTCCGGTGAGTTGCTGGAAACGAAAATATTCACAATACACGAAACATACGAAAGAGCTACCTGTGTTCACA